GTTTTTTGTTCTTTGAGACAGAGTCTCGCTTTATTACCCAGGCTGGAGTGCAGGGATTCGATCTCTGCTCACTGCAGCCTCCACCTCCCGGGCTCAAGTGATCCTTCCACCTCCACTTCTGAGTAACTGGGACTACAAGTCCCCTGCTGCCCATCATGCCCAGCTAATTTCCCCACTACCACCCTGAGATGAAGTCTTGCTCTGTTGCCCAGGTAGGAGTGCAGTGATGTGATCTCTGCTCACTGCAACCTCCGCCTCCCAGGTTTAAGCAATTCTGCCTCAGCCTCCCTCGTAGCTGGGATTACAGGCATGCACCACTACGCCCAGCTAATTTTTGTATTCTTGGTAGAGACAGGGTTTCACCATGTTGACCAGGCTGGTCTCGAACTCCTGACCTCACATAATCACCTGCCTCAGTCTCCCGAAGTGCTGGGATTATAGGGGTGAGCCACTGTGCCCAGCCTTGTTTTGGTTTTGTGTTGTAGAGGCAGGGGTTTTGCCATGTTGCCCAGGCTGGTCTCAAACTCCTGGGCTCAAGCAGTCCTCCAGCCTCCACCTCCCTAAGTGCAGTGATTACAGGTGTGAGCCACGGCGTCCTGCCCTAAACTCACCCTTTTGTGACACTGATCTGACTGGTCAGGGTGGAGCCCTCATGGCCTAATCATCTCTTAAAGGTTCCACATTTGTACTATTACAGATGGCAATTAAATTTCAACATGAGGTTTGGAGGGGACATTGAAACCCTAGCTCTTGGATTTCACAATCCCTTTGGTATTTTTGAAAGTGCGGGAATATCTGTTGGAAATTTGCTTCTGTTTTCCGAATCACTTTTTCAAAAGGGTACTTTTTATCTTTATATCCTTTTTATTCTTTCTGTAATATCTATGCATAGGTCCTTTTTGCTTGTGACAAATTTTGAATGGGGTAGTTTTGTAAGGGCTTCTTATTTATCAAAGGAACAATATAGGTCGATTTTCACTGACCTTTATTTACCTTGGTAGTGTTATAATGTATCTTTAGTACATGTTATATCCTCAGCACCTGCCTTAGAGGGATCTGTTTAGATTGTAGCTTCTTCAAGCGAGACAGTTGGAAGCTTTTATATTACTTATGGGATTTGTATTAGCACACTGTTCACTGAGACTGATGAATTGTTTATCCTTAAGGCATACATAGATTTATGGTGGGGGGGGTTCCATCCTGGGATTGAAACTATTTCTTCCCCTTTATCACAGACAAGCAGGCTATTCTGGCTAAAAACTGGGCCCTTGGAGAGTTCTATGTTGCTTAGGTTTTGGGTTTGGTGGTCAGTATTTTATCTGTTTACTTTGGTCCATGATTATACAGCTCATTTTCTGGGTTTGAAGAAAATGATGCTCAAGACAATTTAGTCAATTATTCAATGTGGAAAAGGTTTCTCGGCGAGGCATGGTAGCTTACGCCTGTAATCCTAGCACTTTGGGAGGCCAAGGAGGATCTCTTGAGGCTAGGAATTCAAGCAAAATAGCAAGACCCAATCTGCACAAAAAAATTAAAAACTTATCTGGGCATATTGGTGCATATTTGTAGGCTACTTGGGAAGCTGGAGAGGGAGGATTCTTTGAGCCCAGGAGTTAGTGGCTGCAGTGAGCTCTAATCATACGACCACACTCCAGCCTGGATGACGGAGTGAGATCCTGTGTCCAAAAAAAAAAAAAAAAAAAAAAATTAATTAAAATAGGCCAGGCATAGTGGTTTATGCCTTTAATCCCAGCATTTTGGAAGACCAAGTTGAGAGAATCACTTGAGCCCAGGAGTTTGAGTATAATCATGCCATTGCATTCCAGCCTGGGCAATATGGTGAAACTTTGTCTCTATAAAAAATTTTAAAAATACAAAAATTAGTCAGGCGTGGTGGCACGTGCCTGTAGTCTCAACTACTCAGGAGGCTAAGATAGGGGGATCACTTGAGCCTGGGAAGGTCTAGGCTGCAGTGAGCCATGACTGCACCACTGCACTCCAGCCTGGGTGACCGAACGAGACGCTGTCTCATACTACTGTGGTGCAGTAGTATGATCACAGCTCACTACAGCCTCAATCTCCTGGGCTCAAATGATTCTCCCGCTTCGCTGGGATGGGCACAGTCGCTCACACCTATAATCTCAACATTTTGGGAGACTAAAGTGGAAAGATTGCTTGAGACCAGGAATTCGAGACCATCCCGGGCAATGTAATGAGAGCTCATCTCTGAAAAATTTTAAAATTAACCAGGTGTGGTGATAGATGCCTGTAGTCCTAGCAACTTGGGAGGCTGAGGCAGTATTTCTTGAGCCTGGAGGTTGAGGCTGTAGTGAGCTGTGATCATAACTACTGCACCACTCCAGCCTGGGTGATAGAATAAGAGCCTGTCTCAAAAAAAAAACAAAAGCAAAAAACACTGCCGGGTGCAGTGACTCCCACCTGTAATCCCAGCACTTTGGGAGGCCAAGGTGGGCAGATCACCTGAGGTCAGGAGTTTGAGACCAGCCTGGCTAACATGATGAAACCCTGTCTCTACTAAAAATACAAAAATTTAGCCTGGCATGGTGGCATGTGCCTGTAGTCCCAGCTACTCGGGCGGCCGAGACAGGAGAATCCCTTGAATCCAGCAGGTGGAGGTTGCAGTGAGCCAAGATCGCACCACTGCACTTCAGCCTGGGCAACAAGAGTGAAACTCCGTCTCAAAAAAAAGGAAAAGCTTTCTTAATATAATAGGATGTTCCTTAATTGTCTCATAGCCTACCCACCACCCCCATCCAGGTGAAATATTGATGGCAGGGCACCAGAGAACTCATTGACTCATTTTTTTTTTTTTTTTTTTTTTAAAGACGGTTTCATTCTGTCACCCACGCTGGAGTGCAGTGGCACGATCTCTGCTCACTGCAGCTTCCACCTCCGGGGTTCAAGCGATTGTCCTGCCTCACCCTCCCAAGTAGCTGGGATTTCAGGCGCCTGACACCACACCTGCCTAATTTTTGTATTTTTAATCGAGATGGGGTTTCACCATGTTGGCCAGACTGGTCTCAAACTCCTGATCTCAGGTGATATGCCCACCTCAGCCTCCCAAAGTGCTGGGATTACAGGTGTGAGCTACCGGGCCGGACCGATTCATTCTTTTTTAAGAAGTAAATTTATTTATTTATTTACTTGAGACGGTCTTGCTTTGTTGCCCAGGCTCAAGTGCAGTGGTGTGATTACAGCTCACTGCAACCTCAACCTCCTGGGCTCAAATGATTCTCCCGCTTCGCTGGGACTATAAGTGTGCACCACCGTGTTTTTTTCTAGAGAAGGAGGTCTCACTCTGTTGCCCACGATGGTTTTGAACTTCTGGACTCAAGCCATCCTCCACTCTGTCCTCCCAAAGTGCTGGAATTACAGGCATGAGCTATTGTGCCTGGTCAGAAAATTATTTTTAAATATTTTTAGAGATAGGGTATTACTGTTCCCCAGGCTGGAGTATGGGAGCACCATCATAGCTCACTGTAACCTCAAACTCCTAGGCTCAGGCAATCCTCCTATCTCAGCCTTCCGAGTAGCTGGGACTACGGGTGCCTACCACCATGCCCAGCTAACTTTTAAAATATTTTGAAAAAATGAGGTCTCCCTGTGTTGCCCAGACTGGTCTTGGACTACTGGCCTCAAGCAATCCTCCTTCCTTGGTCTTTCAAAGTGTTGGAATTACAAGCATGAGCCATCCTGCCTGGACTTTTACTTATTCCTAAATAAACTTACCGCTTGACTAATATTTACGGAAGTAGATGTTAACATTTGGCATGCCTCTTCAGTTTGCTCTAAACTTTATAGTATCTGGCAGCTCTTCTTTGTAGTACATTTTAAAGAAGTTGTGTCCCTTTTCTAGATTCATGATACACAAATTTTTTTTTCCAGTCCATTTTTTGGGTTGTGTGTATGTCTGTGTTCATGTTTCATTTCATTGGATTTCAGAGACAGAGGTTAAATAATGGTGCATTCACCATCCTTACTCCAGCCTGGACAACAATTTAAAGCTCAAGAAAATATATGAGCTTTAGCCGGGCGCGGTGGCTCACACCTGTAATCCTAGCACTTTGGGAGGCTGAGGTGGGTGGATCACCTGAGGTCAGGAGTTCAAGACCAGCCTGGCCATCATGGTAAAACCCCATCTTAAAAAAAAAAAGAAGAAAAGAAAAAAATTAAATAAATGAGCTTTAAATTAGATAATGTATATATCACACTTAATATAGTGCTTGGCACATGCATAGCTAGCATTTAATAAATGGAATGCTAATGCCTATGCAGTGGCTAATGTCTGTAATCCCAGCACTTTGGGAGGCTGAGGCGGGTGGATCACGAGGTGGAGTTCAATACCATCTTGGCTAACATGGTGAAACCCCTGTTCCTACTAAAAATACAAAAATTAGCGGGGTGTTGTGGCATGCACCTGTAATCCCAGCTACTCTGGAGGGTGAGGCAGGAGAATTGCTTGAACCTGGGGAGGTTGCAGTAAGCCGAGAGCTCGCCATTACACTCCAGCCTGAACAACAAGAGTGAAACTCTGTCTCAAAAAAAAAAAACAAGCTTTGTTTACTTGTTTATTGTCTACTTCACCAAAATATAAGTTCCATGAAGGTAGGGACCTTGTCTGTGTTGCTTATTGTCATATTCCCAGTTTCTTTTTTTGTTTTTTTATTTTTTTTGCTAGAGATGGGGTCTTGCTATATTGCCTAGGCTAACCTCAAACTTCTAAGCTCAAGTTGTCTTCCTGCCTCAGCCTCCCAAAGTTGCTGGGATTACAGGCATGAGCCACTGCACCTGGCTCGTATTACCAGTTCCTAGAGTGGTGCCTGACATGTAGAAGGTGTTTAGTAAATATTGTTGAATAAGTGATTGATCAGGGAACTTGGGTATGGGTGTGGGAATGAGGGGAGAAAACAATGCGGAAACAAAAATCTGAGCTAGTACAAATAGTTTCTGTCTCCTCATTTGTATATTTCTGTATGCAGGGCAGCCACTTTGGGGGGTACTGATGGATACCTGCGGGGTCGGCTATGTTGCCCTGGGGGAGGCCGGCCCCGTGGGGAACATGACTGTGGTAGACTCTCCTGGACAAGAGGTACTAAATCAGCTTGATGTCAAGACCTCTTCAGAAATGACCAGTGCAGAGGCTTCCATAGAGATGTCATTACCTACCCCTTTGCCTGGATTTGAGGATTCTCCTGATCAGATGAGGCTCCCTCCAGAGCAGGAAAGCCTCTCTAGACTGGAACAGCAAGGTATGTATCTTGTCCTCTTTATCTTTTTATTCCCCATGCTGAGCTTAATATGAAAGAGAGCAGGTTGAGCTCATAGATCTTACAAACCTGGGTACAGTGTTCTCTATTCTAAAGAGGTTTGAGCTCTGGTCCCATCTCACAGACCCATATTCTTTTCTACAGATCTTTCTTCAGAGATGTCAAAGGTCTCAAAGCCTAGGGCCTCAAAGCCTGGCCGGAAGAGAGGTGGTAGGACACGAAAAGGCCCCAAAAAGCCCCAACAGCCTAATCCTCCATCAGCCCCTCTGGTTCCTGGTCTCTTAGATCAATCCAACCCTCTGTCCACCCCCATGCCTAAGAAACGAGGTCGAAAGTCCAAGGCAGAGCTGCTGCTTCTGAAGTTGTCGAAAGACCTAAATCAGCCAGAGTCTCCATCTCCAAAAAGACCCCCTGAGGACTTTGAGACCCCTTCTGGGGAACGACCCCGCCGAAGAGCTGCCCAAGTGTAAGGATTGTGGGGCATAGCTTGGTGGAAGGGGATTTGGTGAAGGGATCCGGGTGGGGCAGATGTTGGGGAGATGAGAAGACTATGATGAGGTATTAGGTAAGGAGGGGTGGTGTCTGGATTCTGGAGACATGAACAGTCTTTTAGGCTCTTACCATAACACCATTAATGGTATGTATTGCTAACTTTAAGAGTTTCTTTCTGTACTTTATGTCTTATGCCATTTTTCACTAACTTTACCTAGCTCTTTATTGCTGTTTTATGCCGAGTATATGTTATCAATATATATGTGCTGTGCTCTTCTTTATCTTGCCTTCTCTGTTCTTTGACTGTGGTAGAATGAAACGTGCATTGAACTTGGAGTCAGAAGACCTGGGTTCAGATTCATTTGTTACTTGAGTCATCTGGGCCAAGTCACATAATTTAGATTTCTGTTTTTTTCATCCTCCAAGGAGGAAGGAAAAATTAATAGAGTTGATTGGTTAATCACGGGGTTATTGGGAGGATCCATTGAGTTAAAAATAAACCATGTCTGGAAAAGTGGGTTCTCAGTTATATGTGAAAATGGCTCTGACTCTGCCCTATCCCACAGGGCACTCCTGTATCTTCAGGAACTGGCTGAAGAGCTCTCAACAGCCATGCCTGCTCCTGTGTCCTGTCCTGAGGCCCCCAAAGTGAGCAGCCCCACCAAACCGAAGAAGATCCGGCAGCCAGCATCCTGTCCAGGTGGAGAAGAGGTGGATGGTGCTCCACGGGATGAAGACTTTGTTCTCCAGGTTGAGGCTGAAGATGTGGAAGAAAGTGAGGCCCCAAGTGAGAGCTCATCTGAACTCGAGCCTGCAGTTCCCCGAGGCACCCCGCGAGGATCTACTTCAGGGGTAACCTCAATGGACAAGAAAGCAAATGGGGACATAGTAGGATTTTTAGGGGACCAGCAAGGTATTGAGAAAGGAAAGATAGCTTTCACCTTGTAACTATAATAGACTAAACAAGTTAAAGAAAAAAGGGTCAATTTCAAAAACAGTTGGCATATTAGGGAGAGTGCAGAAGAAGGGGTGTGGTAAGCAAGATTATTCATTCATACGTTGAGTATTCTTTGTTCAGAAACAAACATTAATAAGACAGTGTCCTGCCTCACAAATTCTGAGTGGAATCAGCACCACTCCAGGAATTAACAAAAACGATTTAGGCATGTAGAGGAAGGGTAATTAACTGCTTAAGCTTCACAGAGGAATGACGGTTGAATTGGGTCTTGAAGGATAAGTAGAAATTTGCCACAAAGGATGGTTTTCTAAGATTGATTATGACTGGAGCATAGAGCCTGGAGTAAAATTGTAGGGGAGATTAAATTAGAGAAGATGAAAGGACGTAGACTGGTAGGAACCAACAAATTTATTTTTGTTTATTATATATATTTTTGTGATAAAATGTATATAACATAAAATTTACCATTTTAACCATTTAAAAATACACAGTTCAGGCTGGGCACAGTGGCTCATGCCTGTAATCCCAGCACTTTGGGAGACTGAGGCAGGTGGATCACCTGAGGTCAGGAGTTTGAGGCCAGCCTGACCAATATGGTGAAACTCCATCCCTACTAAAATTACAAAAACTAGTCGGATGTGATGGCGCACACCTTTAGTCCCAGCTCCTTGGGAGACTGAGACAGAAGAATTGCTGGAACCTAGGAGGCAGAGGTGGCAGTGAACCAAGATCTCGCCACTGCACTCAGGCCTGGGCAAGAGAGTGAGACTCCATCTCAAAAAAAAAAAAAAAAAAAAAAAAAAAAACAGGCTGGGCGCAGTGGCTCGCGCTCGTAATCCTAGCAGTTTGGGAGGCTGAGGTGGGTGGATCACCTGAGGTCAGTAGTTCAAGGCCAGCCTGGCCATCATGGTGAAACCCCGTCTTTATAAAACAAAACAAAACAAACAAACACAATTCTATTGTACAGAGACTGTACAACAAACATTTTTAAGTAGAAAAACAACATCAGTTAGGAAAATAGGTCAAACTATAGTTGACAGAAGACAGTTTCAATTATCCAGGTGAGAGATAGTGAGGTCCTGAATGAAGCAGTGAAGGAAGAGAAGAGCAGGGAGGGGGCAGATTCAAGACATATGTAAGAGGCCAGGCGTGGTAGCTCACATCTGTAATGCTAGCAGGCCAAGGTGGGTGGATCACTTGAGGCCAGGAGTTTAACCAGCTTGGCCAACATAGTGAAACCTGTCTCTACTGGAAATAAAATAATTAGCTGGGCATGGTAGAATGCAACTCTAGTCCCATCTACTTGGGAGGCTGAGGCAGGAGAATTGCTTGAACCCAGGAGGCAGAGATTGCAAGTGAGCTGAGATCATGCCATTGCACTCTAGCCAGACTCTGTCTTTAGAAAAAAGGAGAGAGAGATGGAAGAGAATTTTTTATTTTTTATTTCTGTAATTCTTTTGTTTCTATGTTTTCTCACAGAATGAAATATGTAAGAGAATTAACTTAGGAATTGAAGGGAGAGAGGAAGTTGAATAACAGTTTCCAGCTTAGATGGTGGCATCATGCACTGAACCTGGGAACAGAGTGAGGGATGTGGGAAGGGCAGAGGTAGGGAGGGGAGAAGATGAGTTCACTTTGTTTTTTTGTTTTTGTTTTTGTTTTGGAACAGAGTCTTACTCTGTCACTTGGGCTGGAGTGCAGTGGCTCAATCTCGGCTCACTGCAACCTCCGCCTCCCAGGTTCAAGTGATTCTCCTGCCTCAGCCTCCTGAGTAGCTGGGATTACAGTTGTGTGCCGTTGTGCCCACCTAACGTTCGTATTTTTGGTAGAGACAGGGTCTGCCATGTTGGCCAGGATGGTCTTGAATTCTTGACTTCAGGTGATCCATCAGCCTCGGCCTCCCAAAGTACTGAGATTACAGGCGTGAGCCCGACCTGGCTGAATTCACTTATTTCCCCCCCATTTCACTGATAAAAATTTATCGCAGTTTGGCACCTGGAATAATAACTGGAATGAAAAGTAATTTCAAAAAGAGTTAAGATTTCTTCAGCAAAATAGATGATTCATATCTTCAAGTCCTTTTTGAAATCAGTTAATATTGTTTTCTCATTTCCATCTCAATGACCACAGCAATACAGTTTTTAGTTACTCAACATTTTTAAGCCTATAACTGCATAAACCCATGTCCTAATCAGGCATTCATTGCTCCCAGTGATCTCCATCTACTTGTATCAGCCTCCTCTTTCCTCCCAATCTCAAGGTTACTATTAAAAACTAGTAGATGCAAAAAGAACTTTTAGAGTGGCAAGGTTTGGCCCATCCGAAGTCAGTCCAGGAGCAGTTTTCAGCCCTGCCTTACCTGGGTCTAGTTCAGCTGGCAGATGAGTTGATTGATGCGTTCACTTTGATAGCCAGGTGTGTCCATCTCCTTGAGGAAGCCCACTGTATTTTTGGTGGCATGATGGGCCACTGAGAAGTAGAAAGAGCGGAAGAACCGTGAGATCTGGAAATGCTTCCCTGGGAAGGCAGTTTCATGAATGAGGTCTTCCAAGCAAATGACACCAAACTGCCCCAGGTGCTGCTTAATCACAGTGTTGTCTGTCAGAGGGATGGTCTGTCTTATTCTTGACTTTGGCTTGTCTACATTTCAAAATGAGTTCCCGGACAGACAACAGGTTTGGAAATCCCTAGGTCACAAAAGGTTCCACTCTACGCAGCATTTTTAGGTTCGGGGGGCTGACTTTTACAAAGACACCACTAAAAATTTTCTTTAGGCGAAGTCTTGCAATGGTTCTCTGCAGCAGTAAACTCAACGCCATCAGTCCTTTCGATGGGTATGACAAAGGCCAAGGAATGTTTATCTGGCAATTCCAAGGTGTGAAGCTTCACTTCTAGTCACCTTGTCACGTGTCTGCCGCCAGGAATCATGTAGGAATTATTGCAGTCGCTTAAACCTGTGTCCTTTTCCTTTCCTCTGCTCCTTCTTTGCCAAAGGTGCATGCTTTGCCTGAGTGGCTTTGAGGGCTTGATAAGCCTTCCTCTTTTTCAGGAGATTTTCTGGAACCAAAGGGATTTTTCTTTGCCCTTGCTCCGCCATCTTTCCAGTGTAGCAGCTACTCAACATGTCACTTTCTGACATGTTGAGTTTGAGGTGCCCATGGGCCACGGGCCATTCTGCTGGAGATGGCTGATCATCAGTTGCATATATGAAACCAGTGCCTTACTTGCCTCATGTGCAGCATTTAAGGGAGATCAGAAACCCTCAGTAATTGAGATAAATGCTATTTTGATGCAACGTTTAAAATATCAACATCAGGCCAGGTGCGGTGGCTCATGCTTGAAATCCCAGCACTTTGGGAGGCTTAGGTAGGGATCATAAGGTCCAGAGGTTGAGACCAGCCTGGCCAATATGGTGAAACCCCATCTCTACTAAAAATACAAAATTTGCCAGGCATGGTGGCAGGCACCTGTAGTCCCAGCTACTCAGGAGGTTGAGGAGGAGAATCGCTTGAACTGAGAAGGTGGAGGTTGAAGTAAGGACAAGAACTTTATTGATTTTTTTTTTTAACTGATTACTGTTTTTTTTCCCATTTGCTTCATGCTCTAATATGGCTTGCCACAAACACTGTCTAGAAGTAGAGATACTGAGACTAAGTCAGGTTTACATTATGGAGCTGTAAACTTGATAATCAGGCATAGAGATGGTAGTGAAGCTGGATTCGGTGGTATGCATCTGTAGTTCCAGCTGCTCAGGAGGCTGAGGCAGGAGGATTGCTTGAGCTGAGGAGTTCAAGACCAGTCTGGGCCATGGTGAAACCTTGTCTCTCCGAAAAATAGAAAACAATTAGCTGGGTGTGGTGAGGTGTGCCTGTAGTCCCAACTACTTGGGAGGCAGAGGTGGGAGGATTGCTTGAGCCCAGGAGGCAGAAGCTGCAGTGAACCAATATCATGCCACTGTACTCCAGCTTGGGCGACAGAATAAGACACTGTCTCAAAAGAAAAGAGAGAGAGAGAGAGAGAGAGAGGGAGGGAGAGAGAGAGAGAGAGAGAGAGAGAGAGAGAGAGAGAGAGAGAGTGTGTGTGTGTGTGTGTGTGTGTGTGTGTGTGTGTGTGGAGAGGGGTGAGAAGAAGACAGGAACTCTGGGGAATACCATCATCAATTTGACCTGTCAAGAAGGAAGAACCTGTAAAGGAATATTAGAGAGGAGAGAGGAGTAAGGGTGAGTATTCCATAGGGCAGGAAGTTTCAAGAGGCATTAGGAAATCCTCTGAATCAAATGCCATGGAGATGTTGAGGAAGCTGAACCGAAAATAGGTAACAGATTTTGCATTTTCAATGGAGGGAGTAGAGCAGAAGGTGAAGAAGTCATTATAAGGTTGAAACACAAATCTTTTAACATGTGATAGGGTCGTGATTGGAGGGGGATGTATTGCTAAAGAAGATAAAAGCTGGGAAACAGCTGTCTCTGGGACTTTCTCAACCTGTAGAATTCTCTCTTTCATATTTTCTTCAATTTGATCCTCAGAAGCAGAAGCCACACTGCCGGGGAATGGCTCCCAATGGCTTACCAAATCACATCATGGCTCCTGTTTGGAAGTGCCTCCATCTCACCAAGGACTTGTGAGACTTAGGGACTGGGAACCTGGGGCTGGGAATAAAGGGATGGTAGAAGAGTGCAAGGATAGTATCAAAGTGGGGCTGTGGGGGAGAGAAGCACTCATGGGTGGAATACTGTGATGACATTCAAAAGGCACTGCTCCAGAGGCAGGAGCTCTAAAAATCTTAAAGTGAAGTAAAATAAAAAGCTCCGTTTCTCAGCTCCAGTAGCCACATTTTGGGTGCCCAGGAGCTAATTGCAGCTAGCAGCTGGCATAGTGGGCAGCACAGATAATAGATCATTTCCATCCCCGCAGAAAGTTTTATTGGACTATGCTGCTCTAGAATCCCTCTCCTTCATTAATGCTTCTTCTGTTTCTCCAGCCGAGAGCAGAAGCATTCATACTGGGAGTTTGCTGAATGGATTCCTTTAGCCTGGAAGTGGCATTTGTTATCTGAGCTGTAAGTTGAAGCAACATCTCTGAAGCCTAGGAAGGGTGACACCACTGGAGATGAAGGGGTGACAGAGGACTCTGGATCTATAATGGGAATCCTGGGATGGGTGAAACACTTCCAAATTTAGATTGTTCCCTTTGCTTTCTTCCAGTGAGGCTGCTCCATACCTGCCCCAGGAGGAAAAGTCTCCATTGTTTTCTGTACAACGTGAAGGACTACCTGAAGATGGCACCCTCTACCGAATAAACAGGTGAAGATCGCACACCTGCCCTTTTTTCTGATTCTAGGAGCCAGAAACAGGAAAAATGAGTGTTAAAAGAGATGACAGATAAGTCCTCTCCTTTCCCTGATGCTGGTTCATTTGGTCCCAAGAATAGGAGTCCTGGCTGGAGCTGGTCAGCCCTCTCTAACTTGTAGTGTTCATCACTGCTGGCAGGCTCAGGGACGCTAAAGAGATTTAGGGGCCAAAGCAGTTCACAAGGTTACATCTACTCAGAGAGACCTGGACAGACTAGCCTTAGAGAAAATACTATAGTATTCCAGAATGAACAGCTCTGAAGATGAGCTGGAGCTAGACAGACTTTGGAGGCTGGTCGTGGTGGCCCACACCTGTAATCCCAGCACTTTGGGAAGCCAGAGAGGGAGGATTACTTGAGCCCAGGAGTTTGAGACCAGCCTAGGCAACATAGCAAGACCTCCATCTCTACAAAAAATTAAAAAATTAGTGGGGTATGGTGGCATGTGCCCGTAGTCCCAGCTACTCCAAAGGTGGGATGACTGCTTGAGCCTGGGAGGTCAAGGCTACAGTGAACTGTTGACCATGTCACTACACTCCATCCTGGGTGACAGTGAGACCCTGTCTCAAATAATATAAGACAGACTTTGGGAAGGAAAGGAAGAAGATACAAGTGGTAGCCAAGGACTGTTCTCACTTGTAGACGGTTCTTGCTTGAGCCAGTTCATACTGGCTCTGGGTGGAGCTCCCATTCAGCCCTCATTACCTTTTATTAACTCCTTTCTTCATCCCGTGTTTGATTTTTCTCTAGATTTAGTTCGATCACAGCACATCCAGAGCGCTGGGATGTGTCCTTCTTCACGGGGGGACCGCTCTGGGCTCTGGATTGGTGCCCAGTGCCAGAGGGGGCAGGAGCCTCGCAATATGTGGCTCTTTTCTCCAGCCCTGACATGAATGAGACACACCCACTGAGCCAGCTTCATTCGGGTCCTGGGCTGCTCCAGCTGTGGGGCCTTGGGACCTTGCAGCAAGAAAGCTGGTGAGGTGGGGTTGGACACTGCCATGGGAGGGTGGTTGAGGAGAGCAGGATGGGGTCTGGACAGGATAGGGGGAAGGGCTTGGATTGGGCTGAGACAAGGGGAGCTTACCTCTGGCAGCCCTAGGCCTCTTCTTCCTATCCACCATCCCCACATGCTCTCTCTCTCCAGTCCTGGCAACAGGGCCCATTTTGTCTATGGGATTGCTTGTGACAACGGCTGCATCTGGGACCTCAAGTTCTGCCCTAGTGGAGCATGGGAACTTCCAGGCACCCCTCGGAAGGTACTTCCCAGTTGACTGTGGGATGGCCCTAGGACTCAAAGCCAGGACAAAGAGGCCCTGGGAATTCTTAGAGTTGAAGGAAGGAAGGTTGGAGAGTGGTGGATGGAGTTTTTCCAGCAACTCCGTACAGTATTTTCAGGGCCTAGAACCTCAGAGGTTTTATGTGCGTTACCTGAAGGCAGCAAGCCTCAGCACATCTTTCACCCTCTAGGCTCCTCTTCTGCCCCGGTTGGGTCTCTTGGCTCTGGCCTGCTCAGACGGGAAAGTACTGCTATTCAGTCTACCCCATCCAGAGGCTCTGTTGGCTCAGCAACCCCCAGGTGAGTAGCACAGCAAGGAGAACAGGGCTGCTGTAGTGGTGGCCAAAGCATAGCAGGGCCTGTACATCTCCCTGGAAACATCTCTGGGCCAGTCACTCTAGCACAAAGCCTTACTCAGCCACACACAGACCCTGCATTATGACTCACATTTGTTCTCGAGCCGTCTGTCTTTTGTAGTCTTACATTTCCTTTTATCTCTCCCATCTTCCCTCTTATGTGCTCTCAGGACTTTCCCCCTCTTGCTGCCACAGCTAACTAGCTGCTGAGGGCTCAGACTGATGGATAGGGCCAATCTCCCCTGCCATACTCTTGTTCCCCCAATCCTGTCCTTAGTCCCTCCTGCCTCACCACCACACAAACACAGTCTCTTGTTCTGAAGAGAGGGATAGAATTGAAAGCTGAAGATGAGCAAGAGGAGGAAGGAGTCAGGAAAAGGCAGCATCTATATGTTGAATTTATTTGTTTTTCATTAGTACTGAGTATTTAAAGAAGAGGGCACCCAAGTTGGAGCCCTGGGAAGTCCCATATTTGGTGGGGACCACACCCCCAAATATGGGATGTGGCGGAGGAGTGGGTTGAGGAGTTAATAGGAGGTCAGAAAGCGAAGGCAATAAATATAGACAGTTTTTTCAAGAAGTTTGGCTGTGGGGCTGGGCATGGTGGCTCATGCCTATAATTCCAGCACTTTGCAAGGCCTAGGTAGAAAGATTGCTTAAGCCTAGGAGTTCAAGACCAGCTGGGGCAGTATAATGAGATGTCATCTCTACAAAAAAATTTTAAAAGTAGCCAAGCGTGAGGCCTGATGTGGTGGCTCATGCCTGTAATCCCAGCACTTTGGGAGGCAGAGGTGGGCAGATTACCTGAGGTTGGGAGTTCGAGACCAGCTTGAACAACATGGAGGAAACTCCGTCTCTACTAAAAATACAAAATTAGTTGGGTGTCATTTCGGGCTCCTGTAACCCAGCTACTCGGGAGGCTGAGGCAGGAGAATCGCTTGATCCTGGGAGGCAGAGGTTGTGAGCCAAGATCATGCCATTGCACTTCAGCCTGGGCAACAAGAGCAAAAACTCCATCTCAGAAAAAAGTAGCCGAGCATGGTGGTGCATGGCATTGTGCATTGTGTCACTGCACTCCAGCCTGGGCGGCCTAGCAAGACCCTGTCTCAAAAAAAAAAGAAAATAAAAATTTGGCTGTGAAGGGGATTGACTGAATGTGGTCAGTAAAGGAAGATTTTGTCCATTTATTTGGATAGGAGACAGCAGGGCATATTCACGTGGCAGTATGGGAGTGACCTAGATCAGGGAGGAAGCAAGTGAATGACACAGGAGAAAGGAGGATAACAGAATGAGCAGTGTTCTGGAAAAGGTACTAGAGGATAGAAAGAGAGTAGAGTGAAGGGATTGCTATTCTGATAGGAAGAGGGATACTACCAGGTGTAACAGAAGGAAAGAAGATGGGAGCAGATAGAGGTAGGTTCATAAATTTGGTGATGGAAGGATAAGGACTTTCTCAACAGAGCATAATGGAAGGTCATTATTCAAAGGCTTGGTTGCTGATTTAAAAGCAATGCCTGTGTCCACAGAGGAGGTCTGTGGGTCCGGCAGGGAGCAAAGCCTGGCTAGGCATGGTGGCTCACACTTACGATCCCAGCACTTTGGGAGGCTGACGCAGGAGGATTGCCTGAGCCTAGGAATTGGAGGCTGCAGTGATCCATGATTGTGCCACTGCACTCCAGCCTGGGTGATAGAGTAAGACATGCTGAGTCCTTGGGATCCATAGGAAAAAGTTACTGTTCCTTTTTCTTCACAGATGCTGTGAAGCCTGCCATATATAAGGTGAGTGAGGAACCTGCTACCTTAGCTGAGGTTCTATTTTCTTAGAGTCTCACCTTGCTGATTACTCAGTGAGTCTCCTTATACTTCTGAAAAATACACTCACCCTGCTGGATTAAACATTGATATGAGCTTTCATTCCAAACTGTAGGTATCCCTAACCCCAGTCCCATCTCTTCTTTCCCTGCAGGTACAATGTGTGGCAACCCTGCAGGTGGGGTCTATGCAAGCTACAGACCCCTCTGAGTGTGGTCAGTGCCTTAGCCTGGCCTGGATGCCTACCAGGCCCCACCAACACCTGGCTGCTGGATACTATAATGGTAAAAAAACAAAAACAAAACATAAGGAACTATTGCTCTTTAAATTTTTTGTATATGCTTTTTTTTGGGATTTTTTTGTAGTTCAGTACTGGGCATATAGTTAGAAATACTCAAGCAATGTAAAAAAAAATAGAAGAAAATAAGTCACTAAACTGTTTCTACTCAGAAAAAAATTAAGAGTAGATAGATGCTGGGCCAGGTGCGGTGGCTCACACCTGTAGTACTTTGGGAAGCTGAGGTGGGCAGATCACTTGAGGTTGGCAGATCACTTGAGGTCAGGAGTTTGAAACCAGCCTAGCCAACTTGGTGAAACCCTGTCTCTACCAAAAAATACAAAAATTAGCTCAGCGTGGTACGCACACCTGTAGTCTCAGTTACTTGGGAGGCTGGGGCATGAGGACCCAGGAAACAGAGGTTGTAGTGAACCAAGATTACACCACTGCACTCCAGCCTGGGCAACAGAGTGAGATCCTGTCTCAAAAAAAAAAGAATAGATGTTGGCCAGGTATGGTGGCTGATGCCTGTAATCCCAGTACTTTGGGTGGCTAAGGTGGGAGGGAATTGCTTGAGGCTGGGGGTTCAAAACCAGCTGGACAATCTAGTTGAGACCTCATTAAAAATAATAAAATTTTTTTTCACTATATTGTTTCCAGCTTAGAAATTTTTTTTTTAAGAGCGAAGATGAACATCATTTCATGCAGTTCTTTATTTATGTATAAAGATAAAAAGATCAGAGAAAAGAGTTTTTTTTTTTTTTTTTGAGACGGAGTCTCACTCTTGTTACCCAGGCTGGAGTGCAGTGGCGCAATTTGGGCTCACTGCAACCTCCGCCTCCTGGGTTCAGGCAATTCTCCTGCCTCAGCCTCCTGAGTAGCTGAGATTACAGGCACGCGCCACCATGCCCAGCTAATTTTTTGTATTTTTAGTAGAGACGGGGTTTCACCATGTTGACCAGGATGGTCTAGATCTCCTGACCTTGTGATCCACCCACCTCGGCTCCAAAGTTCTGGGATTACAGGCGTGAGCTACTGCACCCGGCCTGTGTAACGTTTACTAAAATTGTCTTTAATTATATCTTAATTTTATAGAAGAAAAAGACACTAAAGTCAAACTGAAATACTGGCTATGCCCCTGATGAATGTTCCTTCACTATAACAGACACTAGTTCCTCAAAGATACTTTTAGAAGAATTAAAAAGAAAAAAAGACTATATATTATAAATAACATTAAGTAGTTGGAGTTAATAGGTTTTGTTTTGTTTTAAGATAGGGTCTTACTCTCATCCAGGCTGGAGTCATTGGCAAGAGCTTGGCTTAGTGCAGCCTGGACTTCTGTGTTCAAACAATCCTCCATCCTCAGCCTCTGGAGTAGTTGGGACTACAGGCACAAACCACCATGCCTGGCTTATTTTTTGTAGAGATGGGGTTTCACCATGTTGCCCAGGCTGGTCTTGAACGCCTGAGCTAAAAGTGATCCACTCACCTCAGCCTCCTAAGTGCTGGGGTTACAGGTGTGAGCTACTGTGCCTAGCCTAGACTGTTATTTTTAAATGATAGTGTCCTTTTTAGATATAGCTAGACTTTCTGCTAGGAAGATAAGGAAATAAAGCACTGATACAGACCTTTTTATCATGCCTTTCTCCATGTTCTTTTTTTGGTGGTATTATTACATTGTCACGGTACATGACACTTGATGCTGTTCTGTTATCTTAATTCCTAAACTTACATATTGATTGAGTGCCTCTACCAGTCCATTTATCTCAGTCTCCCCTCCATTGCTGAATTATTTATATTGCATGGCTGTAATTCACCATCAACAAATTTTTTTTCAAGAAATGTTCATAGGTGCTGCATTCATTCCCTGAGTGGCTCAGCCTTTTGAGTGGCTGACACTACGGGCACACGCCACCACATCCAGCTTATTTTTTCTTTTTTGAGACAGGGTCTCCCCCTCTGTGACCTAGGCTGGAGTACAATGGCATGATCTTAGCTCACTGCAACCTCCACCTCCTGAGTTCAAGCGATTGTCCTGTCTCCGCCTCCTGGAATAGCTGGAATTACAGGCACATGCCACCAAAGGCCAGCTAATTTTTGTATTTTTAGTAGAGATGGGGTTTCACCATATTGGTCAGGCTGACCTCGAACTCCCAACCTCAGGTGATGTGCTGTTCTCGGCCTCCCAAAGTGTTGGGATTATAGGTGCGAGCCACTGCACCCAGCCTTACTTTGTTTTTTAGAGATGGGGTCTTACTGTCTTGCCCAGGCTGGTCTCAAACTCTTGGGCGAAAGTGTCCTCCTGCCTTTACCTCTCAAAGTGCTAGGCTTATAGGCATGAGCCACTGCACCTAGCAACATTGTGTTGTTTTTGACTTCTTGCCTGTTCTCTTTGTCTTGGGGCAGAGTTAGTAAACATTTTCTGTGAAGGTCCAGATAGTAAATAAATTTAGGCTCTGTTGGCTTGTTTGGCCATTGTTGGAACTACTTAAGTCTCCCATTATATTGAAGCAACTATAGACAGAGAATGGTTGTGCCTATGTTCCAGAAAAACAGGTAGCAACCTGTATTTGGGTCATAGGCTGTAGTTTGCCAACCCTTGTCCTAGAGGTTTTGTTTGTTTTGAGATGGAGACTTGCTCTTGTCATCAGGCTGGAGTGGAATAGCGCAGTCTCGTCTCACTGCAATCTCCATCTCCTGGATTCAAGTGATTCTCCTGCCTCAGCCTCCTGAGTAGCTGGCATTACAGGCACCCGCCACATGTCTGGGCAATTTTTTGTATTTTTAGTAGAGAAGGGGTTTCACCATGTTGACTAGGCTGGTCTCGAACTCCTGACCTCAGGTGATCCACCCACCTTGGCCTCCCAAAGTGCTGAGATTACAGGCATGAGGCACCGATCCTGGCCTATGCTTAAAAGTCCTTTAACTTTTATTTATAGGGAGTAGAGAGAGGTGCATTCTATTCTCTGCAGTAGGTGTATTCACCCTATTATTTTTCAACTGTAGATTCCAGAAAAAGCTATTGCCGTTTTATTGATTAGAATTGGGTTTAAAATATCAGATTGAGCCTTTAAACCCTGGAGGGAGTGTTGGATAGCTAATCGGGATTCACACATGCTTTCATGGTGGTTTGGATCTAAGGGTAGAAGACAAAGATCCTAGGAACCCAGAAAAAGAAATTAGAGCAAGGAAGAAAGAACTTGCTTTTAATACCTACATGTTGTGTCCCTACTTCAGGCATGGTGGTTTTCTGGAACCTTCCCACTAACTCACCCCTGCAGCGGATACGGCTCTCTGACGGCTCCATAAAGCTCTTCCCCTTCCAGTGTTTCCTAGCTCATGACCAGGCTGTGCGTACCCTTCAATGGTGCAAAGCTAACAGGTATAGAATAGGAGATCTCTGGAGGAGGAAGGTGAATATTGGGACAGGCTGACTCTTCCAGATTTATTCGGATTTGATCTTCTCCCATCTTTTCACAGCCATTTCCTTGTCTCTGCGGGGAGTGATCGGAAAATCAAATTCTGGGACTTACGACGACCTTATGAACCCATAAATTGTATCAAGCGCTTCTTGAGTACAGAGCTGGCCTGGCTGCTCCCCTACAATGGCGTCACTGTGGCTCAGGACAACTGCTATGCCTCGTACGGCAAGATGGAGATAGGACCTCTGGGGACAGGCCCTAAGGGTTGGGGTGCAAAGTGTGCCAGATTGTTGTGGGGAGAGGAGGGTAGAGAGTCGGTTCACTGAGGTGGTTTAAATTCTGGAAGAGGTTAAGGAGAAGAAATGAATCTAAAAAAAGGAAAGTTTAAATTTATTTCTCTTTTAACAGTTATGGACTCTGTGGGATTCATTATATTGATGCTGGTTACTTTGGTTTCAAAGCCTACTTCACTGCTCCTCGCAAAGGCACTGTTTGGGTGAGCCCCTCTGTCTTTGTTACATTGGAAAACGGTTCATTTATGTACTATTAGTGGTCAGGAGGAGACAGTAGTTTTGGATAGAAGAAGATAGGTGTGATCTCTTATCAGGGCTGTGGGTTATGAGAAACTCGTGTGTGTGTGTGTGTGTGTGTGTGTGTGTGTGTGTGTGTGTCAGACTGCAGTTGTTACCAGTTCAGCTCTGGATAAATGAATGAATAAGAATGAATGAATGAATGAAATCTGTCTCTTTCTATTAGAGTCTTTCAGGATCTGACTGGCTTGGGACCATAGCTGCAGGAGATATATCTGGGGAGCTCATTGCTGCTATATTGCCAGATATGGCACTGAATCCAATAAATGTCAAGCGACCTGTAGAGCGAAGATTTGTACGTATATGAACGTCTAACAGCAGCTGTTGGATCCTATAACCCACATGCCCTCCCAATTTCTGGTAGAGTACAAATTAGTGCTAGGTCTCCCAGCCCTGATATTATCCCAGAAAGTCTTAGCACAGAGTTGTGTGTAATCTTCCCTACCCTACTGCATCTGAGCATATATTTAAACATACTACTTTGTTCCATCTTTAAGCCTTTCCTGCCCAAACCAGTTTCCTCTCTCTGCTTTTATTCTGTCTTTAGTATTATAGAACCTAATTTCATGGTCTCCTTTCAGCCTATATATAAAGCAGATCTGATACCATATCAGGACAGTCCTGAAGGTCCAGACCATTCTTCTACTTCATCTGGGGTCCCTAACCCTCCCAAGGCTCGAACTTATACTGAAACTGTCAACCATCATTACTTGCTCTTTCAAGACACAGATTTGGTAAGTTGAGGCCAGGATAATGGGTGTGATATTAGAAAAGGTAGAAAACTTTAGTCTTTGTATAGTATGCAATCCTGAGTTTAGCACAAAGATGTAAAACTAAGGAGCTTCAGCCGAGCTTGGTGGCTCACACCTATAATTCCACCTTTGGGAGGCCAAGGTGGGAGGATCACAAGGTCAAGAGATGGAGACCATCCTGCCCAACATGGTAAAACTCGTCTCTACTAAAAATACAAATATTAGCTGGGCCTGGTGGCACACACCTGTAGCCCCAGCTACTCAGGAGGCTGAGGCAGGATAATCGCTTGAACTCAGGAGGCAGAGGTTGCAGTGAGCCAAGATCGCGCCACTGCACTCCAGCCTGGCGACAGAGCGAGACTCTGTCTCAAAAAAAAAAAAAAATGGCCAGGTGTGATGGCTTATGCCTGTAATCCTGTAATCCCAGCGGGAGTTTGAGACCGGCCTGACCAACATGGAGAAACTCCAACTCTACTAAAAATAGAAAAATAGCTGGGTGTGGTGGCGCAGCCCTGTAATCCCACCTATACTCAGGAGGCTGAGGTAGGAGAATCGCTTGAACCCAGAAGTGGAGGTTGCGGTGAGCTGAGATCGCACCATTACATTCCAACCTGGGCAACAAGAGTGAAACTCCATCTCAAAAAAAAACAAAAAAAAAACTAAGGAGTCTCTCACTTTATCTCCTCTTCCATTTCCCTTCCCCAGGGTTCATTCCATGATCTGCTCCGGAGAGAACCAATGCTACGCATGCAGGAGGGAGAGGGGCATTCTCAACTCTGCCTGGACAGGCTGCAGCTGGAGGCTATTCATAAGGTAATCTCTCATCCTTGCCACCCTCCACTAATTTCCCCCAGTTCTCTGGGCCTGGGGCTGATGAAATCGGAGATGAAAAGGTTACACAGATGACAGTCTCCTCCTCCAGAGCATGACAGAAGTACTTCATTCACTGGCTTCTCATTCTTAGCGCTCTCGTTTGTGGCTCATTTTTTTTTTTTTTGCTCATATAGCTAGGAGTCACCCTCAAGCACCACTCATGAGCATCTCTCTTTGTTTTCTGTTCTCTTCACAGGTACGTTTCAGTCCAAACCTGGACTCCTATGGATGGCTGGTATCTGGGGGGCAGTCAGGGCTGGTTCGAATCCATTTTGTCCGTGGACTTGCCTCCCCACTGGGCCACCGTATGCAGCTTGAAAGTCGAGCCCACTTCAATGCTATGTTCCAACCATCCTCCCCCACTAGACGGCCTGGCTTCTCTCCAACCAGCCATCACCTTCTGCCCACTCCCTAGCTTTGGTCCACGAGAGACCGTTGGAGTGAAGTCGGTCAAGAACAAATGGCCCCTATGCACAGAGCCATAGGAACTGGGGGCCTTCCCTGGACACTGATCATGCCAGGCCTGGACCTTTAAGCCTGCCTCCCAGGACTCCTTAGATCCCACTCTTTCCACAGACTTCTGTGATCACGGCCCCCTGCGGGCAGGGGGGCTCTCCCTCCACAAACTCTTAAGGCTCCTCAGCTTAAGACTATGGCTCATGAGAAACACTCAGGCCTGACCTAGGCTTGGGAGTCAAACTGCTCATATTGAGCGTATTGTTAAGTGGGTGAAGCTTAAGTAAAGGTACTGGGTGTTTTTGCGACCACTTGTGAATGGGTGTATGGAGAATTGAAAAAGGTATCTGTATGAAGGTTCCTGTCTGACTATTTCAGGATACTATATTACTGCCTTCTGAAACTTCCTCTTTAGGGTAACCATTATATATGCCCACGAGGGTGATAGTAATTTGTGAGACTGAAGTTGTTTTGAGTACTACTTTGACCAAGGAACACCACGAACACCCTACCAATAGAACAGTAGCTCAGATCTTACTTGCTCCTGCTTATGAAGTATTCCCAATCACTGGTCATCTGACCCTACTTGAACACTCCTGAAGAGTCATGTTTTTTAAAATCTTCCTTTATATCAAGTCAGAGTATACCTCTATAAATTTTACTCATGGGTGTTAAATTTAGTCATCTTCCCTGTGCTTGCCCTGTTAAGTATTTAACCATAGCGATCATGTGTTTCCCAAGTCTTCTCTAGATTAAATATTTTCAGTTACTTCAACCATTCTTTTACACGTCATGATTTTTGATCCTTCATGATACTGTCACATTGTTGACTTATTAGAATGTTTCCTTCAGTTCTACATATAGGAGGTGTTTAGAACCCAAATACAGTAATGTATTGTTATATCTCATCTTGTTAGAGTCCTCTCATGAGATACTGCCTCCTAAGCAAAGACAGATGCTAGTGATGACAAACAGGCAAACCATGGTCTTGAAATGCCTAGGAGTATAGGCTGGGGTTTGGAGGGAAATAGATGACCTCAGGAAATAGAAAAAAACAGGCAGCTGTTTTTTTTTGGAGGGAGCGGAGATGAGATCAGTGCCTACCTGGTACAAAACCCTCTGGCATTCTAGACTGTCCAAATATGTAGTGTAGGGATATATCAGAAAATGTCCTTTAGGGCCAGGCGTGGTGGCTCAAGCCTGTAATCCTAGCACTTTGGGAGGCCGAGGCAGGTGGATCATGAGGTCAGGAGATCTAGACCATCCTGGTCAACATGGTGAAACCCCGTCTCTACTAAAAATACAAAAAATTAGCTGGGCATTGTGGCGCATGCCTGTAATCCCAGCTACTCAGGAGGCTGAGGCAGGAGAATTGCCAGAACCCAGGAGGCGGAGGTTGCAGTGAGCCAAGGTCGAGCCATTGCACTCCAGCCTGGGTAACAAGAGTGAAACTCCGTCTCAAAAAAAAAAAAGTCCCTTAAGAGGGGATCAAGTTTAGTCCTGGCCAGGTGCAGTAGCTCATGCCTGTAATCCCAACACTGGGAGGCTGAGGCAGGTGGATCACTTAAGAGTTCAAGACTGTCCTGGCCAACATGGTGAAACCCCATCTTTACCAAAAATATAAAAAAATTAGCTGGGTGTGGTGGTGTGCACCTGTAATCCCAGCTACTTGGGAAGCTAAGGCAGGAGAATCACTTGAACCTGGGAGGCAGAGGTTGCAGTGAGCTAAGATCATGCCACTGCACTCCAGCCTGGGTGACAGGGTGAGACTCCCTCTCAAAAAAAAAGTTCCATCTCCATCCTTTACAGATGAGAAAACAGACCTGGAGGAAACCCAAGTCCAACAACAGCAGAGAGACAACCCATGTCAGTGCAAAGAAGCCAAGTGTTGCACTACCCTATTGGGATCCAGCTCACATTGAGCCAGTTTTTTGAGCTGTTAGGCGAGTGCCTTCTATCAAAGAAAAGCTTTACTCAATTCTACAGGGCAACCCCTTTCCTATTTTCATGGTAGAAAAGATGGGACCTGGGGATCCACACTTGAGAGACTGTAGGTTGGTGCTGGCAGCCCTGCTTCTGCAACTGAGTCTCAGTCCTAGTCTTGACCTTGTTCCCTTTCTCAACTAAGAGCTTTTTCTCTTTCCAGCTCTCCCTCCCAATATATCCACTGCATACTATCCATTGTTCATATACTTTTCTACTTTTATTCCTCTTCTCATACTCCTCCCTTTGCCAGGAGTGTCTTTTTCCACCATCTTCATCCAAGTTCAATTCAGCCTTCAAGGTCCCTGCTCAAATTCCACCTTCACCAAAGAGCTTCCCAGTTTTCTCCAGTTAAAAAAAAGTCTCCCTTGTGTTCCCAAGGGGGAAGGAAGGAAAAAGGATAAACAAGCATTAAGCACTTGATCAGTTTCAGGCACTTTGCCTATGTCACTTGTATGAGGTAGGTATTGACATTTTAATGATAAAAGAGGTGGAGAGGGTAAGCAGTCTGTAAAAGGTCAAGGTCATATAACTAGTAAGTGGTGGTGCTGGGGATATGAACTCAGTCTAACTTCAGAATATAACTGCAGCCTACCGCATTTGGTCTATTACATTTACTTGTGTTAACTCCTCTAGCGTGCTGTTTTGCAAATAGAAGCGTTTTAGTTAAATGTTTGTGACACTGAATTCCTTGATTCCTTTACTCTTTTCTCCAGGATTTGTGGCAGGAGTCTCCCTGCCTTAATAAAGGAATTGGGTGAATTGGGGATGGAGCTGGGCAAGTGGACAGCCTGAAAAGAGTGCTTCATGATGTTTGGGCTCCCAGGAGATAAGTAAAGCCTGCCAGCCTAACAAATCCATTGCCAGGGATATTGTAGACATTTCCAACGCTATAGAAAAGATATTGCTCTATAGTCACAGACTCTTAGAATGTTAGAGCTGGAACGAATAAGCTTACTGGTTTTCAAACATGCAGTTGTGGACCCCATTGTTAAAAATAGGTCTTTTAAAAAAAAGAAGCGTCTCTAGTAATACCGCCCCTCTCATCCCCCTACACACAAACATCTCCTGAAAAACTAGAACTGAGCCGAGTTTGTAAAGTCAATAGTGTTACCCCCCTCATTTTACAGATGCGGAGCCTTAAGATCAAGTCTAGTCATGACCAAGGCTGCACACCCCGTTAGTTAGGGAGCCAATACCTAATGTCTTCTGAGGTTCTAATTCCAGTGCTTTCTGTGGAAGAGTCGCATGTATGCAATTATTTCTTGAGTGGCTGTTTGCAGCAAAGTACTGAAATGGTTGCATGAGGACAAATATGAACGACTCCAGTTTCACGCACTCATGAGCTCACAGTTGAGGCTAATGAAGAAGCTAGAGACAAAAATAGCTTATAACTACGATTGCTGAGAAAAGGATGTCAGGCCCTTGGGAAGTTCTGGCGGGGGAGGGTGGGCTGAACAATGAGACTACCGGATTGAGAGCCTCGAAGGGAGAGAAGGGGCTGGAGGAGGCAGAGGGTTGAACCCAGGTGGGAAATAAGGCCGGCAGGGTCCACACAAAGGTCCGGCGCAGTCCAGCTGGAAAAGGGGTCGCTCACGGAGTGGGTGACCGAGTTAAGCCGCTCTCCAGGGGCATTTGGCTCGGTCCACTCCCATTCCTGTCCTGGGTGCAAAGGTCCGAAGGAGGCTGGGAGGAAGGGGCGGGATTTGGGGCGGAAGGGGCGGGACTTGGGTGCGGAAGTTCCTAGGCCAGCCTGTTACGTGGGAGGGAGGCTCCGCGCCCAGCTCGCGCTCAGGTGAGTGGCGGATGAGTCGCAGTCACTGGCTGAAAGCGTTGTAAGCCATCAGCGCCCACAATGCATGTGGTCATCCTATATTCGGGGAGTGATGGGCCCTGTTTTGGGTCTGGAGCTGGACTCAGGAAGGTTACACACTGGTTCCAACCAAGTCTGAATCTGGAGATGGACCAAGCTATCTTTTCAGGGACCTAATCTCTGGATGGAAGCCAGAGCAAAGCTACTCTCTTGAGTGTCTCGGTCGGGAACTGAGGCCTCCATTGGCCCTGCTTCAGGACTGAGGGTGGGGTGGCTGGTGGCTGCTACTGGGAGTCCATAGCTTCCCACAGCCTTTCTCTCTTCCCCAATTGTCTAAGGCGACTCCTGCAACAGGAAGCTGTCTGGGAAGCATCCCGCATGTGGCCTCTGCCCCCTTAAGTCACATTGGAAGTGGGAAGGGCAAGGGAGTGGGCACAAGGGAATGTCAGGCGGCTCCTTAGTTGTGGAAAGAGACGGTGGGGGTGACCCCCTCTCCTCTTGGCTTGACAGGAAGCATGGCACTCTGGCGGGCATACCAGCGGGCTCTTGCTGCTCACCCGTGGAAAGTACAGGTCCTGACAGCTGGTGAGTGTCCCTCTAGGACTTGAGTGGGACCAGGGTAGGCTGATTTGGAAGCCAGAGGCTTGTCTCACTGCACCACTCACTTTCTGTTTCTATTCAGCCCTCTTGAAGGGTTGGCTGGCTTTCATCCCACATTGTCCCCAGTCTGTTTTGGAGGGTGGCCCTCAAGGCTGTTTTTAAGGGGTATGTATAATTGGCCAAGCTGTGCAGTAGGGTTTTAGGATTTCAAAGTCCTCAAAAAGCTAACAGTCAGTCCTGAAATATGATAAAGGCATTGCCCCAGAAGGCCCCAACTTGGAAAACTAACATTTTACTGTATGCAAAGCACTTTTATATACATTGTAGCATAGGGCCCCCACAAAGGTGTGTGAGCTAGGAGGGTTGAGTCCACATTAGATCACACCTAACAAGTGCTAAATCAAGACTCCTACCCCAGTTTTTCATGGTATTTTTTAATTGTGAAACGTACAAGAGAATGACTGAGACATGTATGTACAGTTTAAATAGCATTAAAACCGAACATTTCTGTATCAGCAACCAGCTTTGAGATCTCTTGAGCACCTCTCCCTAATTCACACACCCAAATTTCCAGAGTTTTGTTTATATCATTTATTTGCTTTTCTTATCATTTACTGTCTAAATATGTATCTCCAAATGGTATCCAATCACTCCATCCTGATCCATTTGGAGTGATCAGATACCAATCACTAAATGCAGTGATTGAATACTAACCTCTCAGACAGAGGTAACGCAGTGACTTACCTACATTTGTTACCATCTTCATTTTGCAAGTTAGCTAATGTAAGAGGATGGTGCGAAGATAAGTAAGTCTTATGGGGGAATGACCATTGGGGTACAAAGGGTAATCACATTAAGATGAGGTTTTGCCCATGTTTAGAGGAGGGGAACAGCATTCTAGTGATGACTGGGCTTCTGAGAAGAGGACTATTGGAAGGGATTGGGGGCTACTGAAAGCCAGAGTAGAACAGGGGTCCTGTGACCGGAATAGCCCTACATCAGCACTAGAAACTTAACTGCATGAATGGCCAGGAGATGGATTTATTTGGCCCTTCCCTGAGCCCCTCTCCAGTCTCTGGTGCCCAACCACCTCTCATCCTGTCCTCAGTGTCCGTCAGCCTGTATGACTCACCTGGCTGCGTGTGTGGTGACTCATGCTGGGCAGTGTGGCTGTGATGGGAACTGACACGCTGGGCCCTTTGCCCAGGCTCAGATTCCCCTAGGGCCCATAACTGCCAGATGGAAGCTTCCCCCTTGTGGTCATCAAGAATAGGGAGGGAAGGATAGTCCTTGTATTTCCCTACCCAAGGCATCTACAGCTGACAAAGGCAGGAGCTAGAGCTCCAAGGAGGCCCAGGTGCCAACATGTGACTGAACTGGGGTTCTGGTCTCTTGGTGCTGGAGCCCTTCAACTCCACAGCTTCAGTCTTCCTGAGGCTGTGCTGACATCCCAGCTCTGCCCTGTAGCAAATTGTAGACTCCCAGCACTTTTCCCAGACTTTTTCAGACCATTCAGACTTTTCCTTCCCTGCTATACAGGGTATTTGGATCAAACTACAAATAAAGGGGGAAAGTGGCTTTAGCTCACTGAGCCGCTTTTGGACCCCAGCATAGTAGCTCCTAAGGTCCCATGGCTCATCACATTAGAAAACAGTACAGAGACTTCAGACTTAGAAGACCAGGATTTGAATCTTAGAGCCATCGCGCCTAGTAGGTGCATTAATCAGAACAAGTCAGTAAGCTTCTTTGAGCCTCAGTTTCCTCTTTTAAAACTTGAGTTTAGGCTAGGCATGGTGGCTCACACCTGTAATCCCAGCACTTTGGGAGGCCAAGGCAAGCAGATCACTGGAGACCAAGGCGAGCGGATCACTTGAGCTTGGGAATTAGAGACCAGCCTGACCAACATGGAGAAACCCTGTCTCTACTAAAAATACAAAATTAGCCAGGCATGGTGGCACATACCTGTAAGCCCAGCTACTCGGGAGGCTGAGGCAGAAGAATCACTTGAACCTGGGAGGCGGAGGTTGTGGTGAGCCAAGATCATGCCATTGCACTTCAGCCTGGGCAACAAGAGTGAAACTGTCTCAAAAACAACAACAATGACAACAACTTGTATTTAGCTGTATGATTTCACAGGGTCAGTATAGGAATATCACTGTGAAAAGGCTTTGGAATTTTTTTTTTCTTTTTTTTTTTTTTGGAGACAGAGTGTCACACTGTTGCACAGGCTGGAGAGCAGTGGTGCAATCTCAACTCTACAACCTCCACCTTCTGGATTCAAGCAATTCTCATGCCTCAGCCTCCTGAGTAGCTGGGACTATAGGTGCACCACCACACCAGGCTACTTTTTTTTATTTTTAGTAGAGACGGGGTTTTGCCATGTTTACCAGGCTAGTGTTGAACTCCTGACCTCAAGTGATCCTCCCGCCTCAGCCTTCCAAAGTGTTAGGATTGCGGGCGCAAGCCACCGTGCCTCTAAATGCTCAATAAACTTAAAGACTCAACAAGTTGGTTCTTTCTGTGAGTGCTGGCAACCCAGGCACAATAAACTATTTTATTTTATTTTGAGACAGGGTCTTGCTTTGTTGCCCAGGCTGGAGTACAGTGACATGATCCCATCCTGAGCTATAACTGTGCCACTGCACTCCAGGTAACAGAGGATCCTCTGCCTTAGCCTCCCAAGTGGCTAGGACTGCAGGCTTACACCACCACGCCCAGTTAATTTATTTTCTTTTTTTGGTAGAGATGGGGTTTTGCCATATTGCCCAAGTCATATTCTTTTTATAGTGGTGTTTGGATTAGGTTTGTTCCACTTGCCATAATCTGAATGTGGACAACCATCTTAGCCTTGGGTTACAAAAAGCAGAGCCTACAGCTTATGTGCAGATACCTTGTTAGGAAGTAGGAAGTGATCCCATGGAGGGAAAGAGGGAGACACTATAAAGATCCATTATCGAATTAGCCACTGCTAAGGGCAGCTGTTGCTCAGTCCCTTGGAACTGAGAAGCTCTTTGAAATACTCCTTAAAGTGGCTGGGCATGGTGGCTCACACCTGTAATCCTAGTACTTTGGGAGGCTAAGGCAGGCAGATCACTTGAGGTCGGAAGTTTGAGACCAGCCTGGCCAACATGGTGAAACCCCGTCTCCACTAAAAATACAAAAATTAGCCAGGCATGATGGTGCATGCCTGTAGTCCCAGCTACTCAGGAGCCTGAGGCAGGAGAATCGCTTGAGCCCAGGAGGTGGAGGTTGCAGTGAGCTGAGGTCATGCATT